TCCAACCACAAACATCAACTCGCTATCAGCATTCTTCTCAGAGCGAGCCTCTGAGTAAAACCAAAACACGGAGCTCTTCTAGCTGCTAAAAACCCGGTCCCAACTAAAACCAGGACACCGGCGCTCACCTGAGCCCACCTTTCCCGTTGGGCAGCGCAGCTTTATTTCGGAGCTGCTTTCCCATTCCGGCTGCAGCAGGCGCACCAGCGCTTTGAGAAGGGCAGATGGTGCCTCAGCAATTGGAAGCGGAAGATTTTGAAGGAAAATTCTTTCTGGTGACGATGCGAGTGGCAAATTTATCCAACCTACGTACCGGCATCGCTATGCTCAACCACTTGCCAGGACCTGATGGATGCCGTACATGTTGGCTACCTGGTCAGCTCCATAAGAGCAGGAATACTCCAAGGGACTGCGTTAACCACCTCAATATTGAATAGGCATGCACATTTATCAGGTGTCTGTTTCAGCTCACGGGGTTTGGCTCTTTTTTTGCTAAAGCTACTTGGAATTCCAGTCACTGAAGAGGAAGCAATCCTGCTCTGCGAGACTGAACGAGTGGAGAATCAGGCCCTTGAGAAACGTACTATTTTCTTGATGGTTATGTTGAGGGGAACAGAGCAAAGGGATTTGAAATTTCAAGGTGTCTGACAGTTCTGCTAACATGATATTCATATTTGATGGCATTCATCTACATGTTTTCTTCATCCGTTTGCTTCTTTTTGAAGATAATTCCTTAAGGATTGCTTATTCTTCTGCAAGAGTTTCTTAGCAAAAACAGATAAATGGCTGTATATCCTTTTTGTAAAATGGACTGGTCTGAATTAAGACTCCAAACAGTAACAAGGATGTGAAAAAATCACCTCCTTTTAAAATTTACCTATAGAAGAGAAAGAGCATGCTCATGTTTTATCATTACTATTATAAAAATACTCTGTGATTTCTGTGACTCCAGTGTTTTCCTATGGGTAAAACCTAGATTTTTGCAAAAGATCTGATTCAAAACTTAAATTAATAGGAAGAACCCACTTGCTGGCAGTTTGGGGATCGGATTCAAAGCTGGATAGGCACTGATGAGTCAGAGCTCAGGCTGGAGCCTAGCAGAGAGCAGTCATCTCGTTCCATGATGCTTTCAATATTTCAAGATCCAGTTTGTTCAGATTCTGGGTGAAAATAAAACACAAATTTCTCCATAAAAGACAAAGGCTATTCAGCTCCAGCTGCCAGCCTCTAACTCCAGAACTCAGGAATTTGGGTAACTGGCCAGCAGAGCTGGCTGTCGGCCCCATGGGACAGAGTCACGACCCGGGAGTCCTCTTAGTGCGTCGCTGAGGTTCACATGCTTGCTAAGAGCAGCGTGGGGACAGCTGAGATGGTTGGCAGTGTCAGCATGCTGCTGCCAGGCTCCCAGGGAACACCCCTCAGTCTTGCTTCTGGGATACAGATCCCGAAATAAAATGCTTGGGAGGGAGGTTGAAACCAGCTTCTGAAATCTTGCAGTGTCCCCTGAATCTTCAAACCCCAAGTTACAGCTGTTTCGTTTGGAAAGGTGGAGAGCGGCGTGTTGAGGTTTCTGTCAAGAAAATTCTTATTTTGTACCTCATGTTTTTAAACTTCAACTCATTGTGTTTTGTTTTGTTTTGTTTTCCCAGAGGCACCTGCCTTCATCTCATCGTATCCATCTCTGAATTTCACTTTCTCCAGTTGTGCAAGGTTTCCTTCTCTTGCCAGTAAGGAACATCACACCACTGTGGGGAGATCCAAGATACATGTTGCAGGTGTCCCTCCATGTGTCTGTACATGGAGGATATAGGTGACGTTATACACTGTGACTGCAGAGTATTCTCTTCAGTTTTTACTGGACCCATTAACACTTGTAGGTTTTCTGGTCCTCTGGTTCAAGGCTATATTTAAGAAAAGTAAATTTGTGTAGCTTTTGAGAGCAAGATAATAAGAATGGCCAATGAAGTGGCCTCGGAGACATGTCCTCTCTGTTCTTCTTCTGAATAATCCATTCTCTCTGTTTAAAAATTATTTTCAAAATTGCTTAGTCTTTCCTGTGGTATAATACTAAAATGTGACATAAAAAAAAAAAAAAGCCATTCAAAAAGGTTAAGAAAGCAATATCACATTTAATTATACATTACAAAAATCCTGGTTTAGTCTGATAATTTGAGACCATTTTCTATTAAAACACAGGGAAGACTCAATTTCTCTCTCTGTAAAACTGTCTAAATCTCTTCAAGCACTGAAAGTTCTTGGAGACACTTCAACATCCCAGCTGAGGAAAACAACAAAGTCAGTTGTAGGAATCAATCAGCTATTCTTCCTCAAAGAGGAATTGCTAAGATTGGATCTTGCCTTTTATAGGCTTTTGAGATATGATCATTAAAGTATTTTATTTTGCCTTTCATCGCAGAGATATTCAAACAGGTTGCCTAATCTGCAGGTGGGGAGTGGGGTGGGGGGGAACAAACCCCAAACACCAGATTTCAGAGAGCTGGCATGACTTTGTAGAGGTTTAAAAACAAAGTGTTGTATGCTGGAGAATTAGGTTAATTCTAGACAGCCCATGGCTTCAAATTCTGTGACTAAATGGAAAGAAAATAGTGTTTCAATAAAACCAGCCATCAGCAAACCAGGGCAGTGACACTGACTGAGAAATATTCAATGACAGAAAAGCTGATAGTAATGGAAGACCTGAATTACCCCTGTATAGGCTGGAAAATGCTAGAGTGGGGCATGATATAGGCTTTTAGAGCATCATAAACAATACTTAGAACAAGTAGCTGGCAAAGGCACAAGAAAAGTCACTCCTGGTTAGTCCTGAGAGCTGTGCACGATCTGGCGTCCAATGTAACTACTGAAAAGCCTCTTAGTGCCTGTATATATATACTTGAGTATATATATACTTGAGCATAACAGCTCTGTAGGAATGATAGCACCAAAAAAAAACCCCAAAATTCGGTGCAATACCTTTAAACTCTAAGAAAGAGGACTCTAAATAAAAGAAAGCAAGGTAAGAAGAAGGAAGAGCGAAAAAATCTGGTAGGATGCTGTCAACAAGTTCGGATGCTACCTAAATATTTTGTAGCAGAGGGTTAGAGTCAACTTGTATAATCAGTCAGAAAAAAAATTCAAAAAGATTTCCTCCTCTCTTTTGGATGAGCATTTTCCCAATGGTTTTCAGCAAAACGTAGTGGTTCTGGGACATTTCTTTTTATCTGATCACATTCCAACCTGTGCATCGTTCGCTGCTGTTCAATATTGATCACTGGTGCAAATGGATCAGTGCTGATCCTTTCTCATCATGACTGATACTAATAATCTGTATGGGCCTGGACAGATTCCCTCCTTTGAATGACTCCAGCATCTCTTGGAGTGGTCTGGATATTGCTCAGGCACTCAGAGGTTTCTCCAGTCCCTAGAACAACCTGGTCCAAAGCCCCAGATCCAGACACGTCCCAACTTGGGAGGGTTCAGAGTCAAAACCTAGACCTGAATTTCACTACCTGTGCCCCTGTTCCCTTCTATTACTGGCCCTGGGAGCTGGAGGGCCCTGCAGCGACCCCTTTCTTTTACAAATTCTGCATTTACAAGTGATTTTGCACTCCGGTCAGGGAAGAGGTTTCTAACTTCATCTGCCGTCTTGGTGCCAACGCAGGGTAACACCACTGGAGAGGCAGAAAAACACCCAAATCGATGGGTAAGTGAGCTTGGTGCCCAGAAAATCAGTAAGAAGAAAGGTAATGGATTACCTTGTTCTGAAGAGTCCTTGAGCCTCTAAGTGACACCAGCAGTCTCTAGGAGCTGTTCCTTTCCAGGCAGCCTCTCCGTAGGGTGACGAAAGCACTACCTGTCGGGCTGGAGCTCTTTGCAAAGGCGAGTGCGAAGACCTATTTCTGATATTTATTTCTTGGTAAAGACAAGTTCAGAAGTCAGAAAGACACTGACAGGGAAGCTATGATAGCTTAAGCCTGAAAACTTCATAGGTTTTGCTAATACAGGAGAGCCTGTGGGTGCTTGTGGATGGCCGTACCGTAACTCTGCAGGTAATTGCAACCAAAGCGAGCCGAGCTAGGGCGAGTAGGCGAAGCTGCTGGGGGGAATAACCAGGCTCCTGAGCTTAATGTAGGGAGGATTTCCGTGCTTTTACAGGTGTGCTTGACTCTTGGGCCAGCAACTCGGGCTGCAAGACTATCCAGAGTCAGCAAGACACATGGCTGGATCCGCGCGTGCCAACTTTCTCACCAGCTACTGGTCCTGCTGCTGGGAAGAGCAAGTGGACTGCTGTCGTCAGAATTGTGCCGAAGGAAAGCTCAAAAGGGACGATGTCAGCTTGGATTTTTTTTTCTTTTTTTCTTTTTTTCTCTTATCATTCAGCTGCACTGAAGCCCGACACCTCTGGTAGCCAGTGGTGGAGCAGCGAGAAGCTGGTTTTGTTGCTGCGCTGTTACAGGAGAGGGCTGGCTGCGTTAACTCGGACAAAAACAGGCACCGAGACAAGTCGGACAGAAGCCAGGGATGGAGACCGGCTCCACGGAAGCCAGCAGCAGCTCCCAGGGAGGCACCGGCTGGCTGGACCTGACCCTGGTCACCTGCACTGAAACGGTGACTTTCACCGAAGTGGTGGCAGAAGAGGAGTGGGGATCCTTTTACTATTCTTTTAAGGTATTCTTTTAAGGCGTGCGTTATTTTTCTCACATGCTTGCAGCTTCGGTACGTTTTCAGCACCTCTGTGGGGAGGCAACCAGGATTATTGAACTTTTTTTGCCCAGATGTTTGTGGGTTTTTTTTTTCCTCTGCGAGGAGAGCAGACGGCACGTGTGGGGCATTTACTGAAAAACAAAATAGTTGTAGGAGTTGGAGTTGAGACTTTTGGGTCTTAACCAATTGCATCCCCTTCCAAGAGGGGATGGTACTCTTTTGCTATAGAGGCATTGTAATCACACACACATCTTTAATGAAAAGCTTGTGCTAGTTTAACACATCTTTTATGTAATTTCTAAGAACCATCATCTTGACATAAGGGATTTCAATTTTCCAGCTGCAATAAACATCGTGCACAAGTGAGAGGGATTTTTTTTTTTTTTTTTTTTAAATCATGAGGGACAGGTTCTAATTAGTCGGTTTGTTTGTTTGTTTTTAACTTGAACGGAGCACATAGTGTCTCTTGAAGGCTGCTATTAAGAATGCACCAGATGAATCATTCAGCAGTGAATGCTGTTGAATGACATGGGAAGTGTATTCATTCATCTCCCCAAACAAACGTCACCCTTTGCAATACGTGAATGCAGGAAAAAGATGAAAGAGGTACTGAAATTCATCTTTCCTTCACATTTCTGTGCCTGTTGTGATTGATTAATTTCATGCTGCATGCCAAGTGTCACTTTACTGTCGTGGCACATTGTTAAAGTTAAGTTCAAGGTATTAAAAAGTCCGATAAGGAGTGCCCTGCCATTCCTTCTGGAGCTCAGGACCAGAGAAATCACTTTCAGCTAGAAAGATATAGGTATTTACATCATTTGACAATGTGTTGGGTACCAGGGGATACATTCAGAAGCAATTTTGATTTCTGTGAGATTGTTAGCACCGTGATACAATGCCAGTGGAATTGGTGGGATTGCAACAGGTTTTCACTGCTGTGAAGGAAAAAGCTGATCTGTAGTTCTACTATTAATTAATGAGGGTCTCTCTTAACATGTTGCTGACACATTCTTGTTCTTGATGAGACAGCACTTTCTTACCTGGGATTTCAAGGATGAAAATCTCTTTTTTCTCCCATCTTTTTTTTTCTTTCCATGTTAGACTTCTAAAATGCTCTTGAAAAGAATGCAGAAGTGACAAGCAAAATATTTTTAACAACTTTATCTCCTTTCTTCTCTCTGCACTTAGGGCTGTAAATCTGAACAATGTCAGGGGAGCAGTATTTTGTACTGGTAAAAGTGACGATTAATTCCATGATTAGAAAGTCCTCAGGCAGAAAAATGCTCCTTAATAGGGGAGATTGAGTAAATGACAATAATTAGGTAACCATGGATAGTCATGCGTGCTCATCCATTGCTAAAGGAACCTTGATTCTGTGAGCTGAGAGCTTCTCATTAGACTTGCACTCCTCTGTCAGATGCCTCGCTCCGGCATATGTAGTGTGAACTTTGCAAGGAGGTTCACTGATTTCACATCAATTACTAGCTCTTGATAGGCATGGAAATATTTTGACTCTGGAGGTACGTCACAGCTGGTGCTGCTGCAGGAAAGGAGGGATAAAGCACCCGCTCTGATGACGATGGTGCAGGGAAGACAGGGCTCCCTGCCAGGAATTTCAGCTCTCTGTAAAAGCTCATGTGAAGAAGGTGCTGCTGGTACCTGCTGACTTGGTTGGCTCTCCTCCACCAGTGCTGCCCACGTCGTGGCCATGTCCTTGCCCCTTCCTCTTCACAAGGGTCTGGCTAAGCAGCTAAAGCAGTAAAAGGTTCAGCTTGGAACAGGTTGAACGGATTAAAAACCAGAGCTCAGTGCTTAAAATGTAGCTGCAAACAGGCTTTTGGCCTTTTATTGGGATTTTCAAACACACGGTAGCCCATGGCTGGGAGTAGAGGCAGGTGGGATGAGCAGCCACCGCAGAGGCTGACTCCAGAGCCCGTGTGCCGGGAGGCAGAAGCCCAACACAGGGCACACAAGATGTTTCTGCCCGGGAAATGCAGGTGTAACCTCTCTTACCAAAGCAGTCATAGGGAAACACGACCTGAGCTGATAAATGGAGACAAGGGAGGGACACTCACCTGGAGCAGTTCCTGTGTTAGTGACGTTTTAACCATTTTACCCAAGGACAGCTACGTAGGGTATCTCACGCACTGCTCGAGCCACAGGAGCATGTGCTGGTTTCTTTTTTTCCTCCCATGCTCCAAAAGGACAGCCTGTGCTCTCCTAAGGTAGTGTCTGTGCTATAGTGTGGTGGCAATGTGACAGAAGTGAAACAACGCGCCTTAGAGCATTTTGGTGCCAAAAAGCCCTGTTATGGGATGAGCTGTGACTGCTTCCCCTTTCAGAAGCATTTGAGTTTCTGCCTATTCCTCTTCAGAGCTTAACAAGTAAATCCTGCTGCCACTTCAGATTAGAAAGCATTTTGCCAGTTCAATTAGATATTTTTTGTTTTTGTGTTCCCCCCGACCCCTGCTGAGAAATAGAGCATTTCATCCACTCAGAGGAATGCACATTTCCCTTCTGGTAGTCACTACTGCAGCTCCTTGGCCAGCTGCTCACCAAGGCTTTGCCAATAAAGTCTACTTTGGGGCAATGTCCATGTACCAGCTAATTAGGCTGGCTCTTGGGGGCACAGAGTCGCAGCCTTTTGGGGCAGGATTGGGTGCACCCACGCACCACGTGTAAGATGAGCTGGTGCATCTCACAGCAAAGGAACTGGCTCGTCCCCACCGATGTTCAGATCTTGCTGCTGTGTTATAGAATCATAGAATGGTTTTGGTTGGAAGGGACCTCAAAGATCATCTAGTTCCAACCCCCCTGCCATGGGCAGGGACATCCTCCACTACACCAGGTTGCTCAAAGCCTCATCCGAACTGGCCTTGAACATTTCCAGGGATGGGGCAGCCACAACTTCTCTGGGCAACCTGGTCCAGTGCCTCACCACCCTCCATGTCAAAAATTTCTTCCTTACCTCTAATCAAAATCTCTCCTCTTTCAGTTTAAATCCATTGCCCCTTGTCTTATCACCATATACCCTTGTAAAAAGCCCCTCTCCAGCTTTCTTGTAGCCCCTTCAGGTACTGGAAGGCTGTTAGAAGGTCTCCCCAGAGCCTTCTCTTCTCCAGACTGAACAGCCTCAACTCTCTCAGCCTGTCTTCATAGGAGAAGTGCTCCAAAGTTACGGCAAATGGTCACTGAAAGCCCAGACCATATTTCTTCCTGGGTACCTTTACACGATACACCCAGATCGCTTGCTGGCTTAAACCACAGGCATCAGAAGTCCTGTTGGCTGTGTCAGCACCAAATTCAGAACAGATGTGCAAATTGGTATTAATTACAGCTCCAACCTCCCAGGCCAAAGGAGAGTTCATTACAATCCTTTACAATCTCCCCGGCCTGCATTTAATCTTCCTGTAAAAGGGCTCTAAGCGAGTGCCAACTGCCCTCTGCCAAATACAATCATCTGAAAAGAACTGAGATTGTCTGAAGAGCTGTGGCCTTCCTCCACTTTAGGACCTCCTCAGTTCTGTGTACCTGACTAGGTGCAAGACAGAAATCTGCCTGGAGAGCCTGGGGCAAAGCTGACATCTCAGAATAGTGTCCCCCCAGTTGTCCACAGGGCTGGGAGTCTTCATCAAGGCTGGAGGAAGCACTTCCCCTTGCCAGACCTCCAACAATGCTGAAGCTTATCTGAGTGTAAGAGCATGTGCTTGTTCTCAGAGAGGATTCAGTAGGGCCCATCTCTTTTATAAGAGATCTGCTGAGAAACGAGATACCCGACTTTTATGCAATAGAGTAAAGGCTGGAGTACTCAAAAAGAAAAAAAGTCCCATCTGCTGTTATTTTCTTGATGTGACTGTGTTCCTGCCATCACCTCCTGTCTCCCAGGAGAGTGGGCTGACTTCCATCATCTAGTACATTTTCTTATCTTGGTTTCTGATGTGTAGAGTTGAGCCCTCGCCCATGCAGCAGGACACAATGTTTTGTTTTTTCCACCCAAGGTTATTTGGGAACCCTGATCTCCTCCCTGCCAGGTGGGAACCTCAGCCACTGGTACACCTATTGACATCCTCCTCCTCTTGCTCCATCAGACCTGGTCCCTGTGCCGTGCAGTGCCACCACAGCAGTGACGGCGAAGTGTTAGAACTCTCAGAAGAAACAATGTGCATATCTACTCCACCACAAATTATTTTACATGTATTATCTAAACTCCCTACTTGTTTCAGGAAGGACTGTTTGACTCTCTGTCTGTGATTGTCATAGAATGATAGAGTGGTTTGGGTTGGAAGGGACCTCAAAGACCATCTAGTTCCAACCCCCCTGCCGTGGGCAGGGACACCCTCCACTACACCAGGTTGCTCAAAGCCTCATCCAACCTGGCCTTGAACACTTCCAGGGATGGGGCATCTACAACTTCTCTGGGTAACCTGTTCCAGTGACTCACCACCCTCAGAGTGAAAAATTTCTTCCTTAGATCTAAGGAATTTCTTCCTTAGATAAAAGCTGAGGAGACCAATGTGCAGAGAGAAGTTTTGCATAGACTTCATTTGTAGGACTGTCAGGTAACAAGGGTTTGGCTCCAGGTGTCCTCAGAGACTGTTTAGAAGTCAGAATCTGTTGTCATTATCGTTTCATCCAACTGCAGGAGTCTCCTTATCTCTTGGAAACCATTCACCTATGTTATTGCTTATTCTGATTTTTCAAGAAACCTCGCAAAGCATCCCTTCATTGAATACATCATAGAAAAATAATAATGAGCGCTGTCAAATTTCTGTTTTAATCTCTGAAAATGAAATGATGCATTTTAGAAAAATAGGCATATCAAATAATTCATGAGTAACTTTGCAATCTTTCGGTGGGGGAAGAGGAGGAGAATTACGTCTACACAAATACAGAGTCAGGAACTCCTGAACGCAGCCTCTGCAATATGCTGTGATGACTGTTACTATTCCTGAGATGCTGCACTG